ATAGATATTGAGTGGAGATTAGGAAAAATAAAAGAAAACGATAGATACCCAGTAAGATTAAGTAATGGCGGATTCAAATGTATCGCTTGAATTATCCACTGGTAAAGGCACGGAGGATCAACCGACGCACCCTTCGCTCGTAATTCACCCTTGTTTTTGTCGGCTACAACTAGACTTTTACCGCGAATTTCGTCCCATGAAGCTTACCGTTCCCAATACTTTTCCTCTTCTCCTCACTTTTCCCATTAAAACCTTTTCATCCCCTAAGTGGTATCGCTTTTCTGATTCGAAACGGAAATAAAAAAGATCGAACGAATAAAATGGTGACGGAACGGGGGGACAGAAAAGCAGGGAAGCATGAACACATAGGCATCGGAAAATATCCCAACGAGCAGACATTCGCGTTTCAAATCGTTGATAAGCAAACCAACCCCTTTAGCACGTAACATCTCACGCGAGCTGCCTATTTCCACACTCTATCGCATATCTATGAGTTTGTTTATTAATTATCATGCGCGAGCTGAGCTTACCGTTCGAGAAAAGACGAGTGAAATTCGGGCGTAATCGCCGGATCGAAATCACGACCGATGCACGAACGCACAATACGCACGACAGCGTCGTTTATAAAGCACCCACCCCTTGATTACTTTCTTTATCGTAACAACGAACTTGAGACTCAAGAGAAATTGCCCGTCTATCTTGTATCAAGATTTCGTTTTACGATGTGATCGCGAAAGCTTTACTACTCGAAGCTTTACTCGAAGAACAAGAACAGAAGAAACCGCGAATCGAAGATGATAACGGAAAGCGAAATTCTGAAAAAGCAACTTGTTGACAAGAGACGAACGATTTCAATTTTACGTTTACGCGTTCTTTCCATTAATCTTCAAGGGCCCTGCCAAATCACCGGCTCGCTAATTCCCATAATTCAGTTAAACACGTCCCCATCTTTGCACAAAGGGCAGGGGTGGCAATCCACTTCTCACTTATTTACGGACCACGTTCGAAAATTAAGATGAATACCGTGACTATCTCCATACTGCGTTTTCCAGTAACTGAGATACGAGCTACCTCGTATCTCCCTCGAGTAGAGTCACGCACCACCCTAAAAACGAGTCTCTACACCCTGTATTGTCGTTTTTTACTCGTAAGCCGGAGAACGCGGAAGCATTCTATAATTCCCTTACGATTCTTCTGGCGGTAGCGAATAACGTACCGCGGAATTACGACGGCTCGTAAAATCTCGCAAAGTCGTAACGTTACTCGTTCATATTTCAGGGACGGCGAGCGCCTGCGACAACCAGGCTGCGTCACGAACGGAGCTGCGACATACACACACACACACGCGCGCGCGCGTGCCTTGCTCCAGCGTCACCGGCTCGCCAGCCAGTGATAAATATTAGTTTAGGAATAATTGAACGATATGTTTCAACGATGAATCGCATTGTGACAGTGACACGGACCGCCAACCGAATTGTCGGACGAGCGATGCACGCCGACGCCACAGAAAACTTGCAGCAAATGACACTCGATTCTATAAATATATCAGGTAGATCAGGCAAAAACTGCCGTCTTGTGTAATTTACTTTCAATTTTGTATCGCTTACATGCCGATGTTCATCGAAGAAGAACAAAATTATCACCGACAATACAAGTATTTCGAATTTCAAATGCAAAATTGAAAATTTTTTATTTATTTTATTTTATTTGTTTATTATCTTATGGTAATAAATATGTAAAGATAGTCATAAGTGTAGCTATCAGTGTACAAAAAGTGATAAATTGTAGTGCAACAAAGTAGAAAAAAAAAGCGAGAAATACTGAAGAAGAAAAGAAAGTGACATAAAAGTGAAGTAAAAAAAATGATAAAGAGATTGTACTAAAATTTGAACCGTATTAAAGGTATTGTCCAGATGCTACGTAAGATGTTGAGTAGTTTGGTTTTGAAGGATACAAGATTTCCTTAAAAAATCAATACTGCTGTTGAGGAAATTTGCCAGAATAGCGATACAACACATACGGAGTCAATAACATTGAACCGTAACAAGTAAGGGTGCGGCCTACAAATCTAAAGACACTTTGGTGGGACAGAATTTGAAATTTTCGAATTAATAATCATTTGTAGAGTCTCGAGATGCTAGAATGACTAGATACACCCGGTATATATCGGAATACGTTAAATGGCCACGTATAATATCATCGTAATGCGAATGCAATCAGCAAAAGCGCACGTCCATTCGCTTAATTAAGCGCTTATTATTAATTATTAAATTAACTGTGACGAGAACAGGCCGGAAACGAATAAAACGTCAAGGTGTTGCACGCGTTAATTATATTCGAATATTTTCCATCGATATCGTGCGGCCAATTTCGCAACCTGAACAATGCATCCGGCGCCACTTCGGCTTTATTAAATAATTACCAATTATTACATAGAGAGCGGAGTGACGATCGTTCGAATTTCCAGACATTGTCCCCGCCACAAAAGCGACGTATTTTCGTTTGTTAGCATCCTCTCATTAAACATACGGCCAGTATTATCATACTATGATAATTAACGCGTTCCGAATAATTCCCACGTGATGGCACTTAATCCGATCGGTCAGCGGCAAGAGCAACGTGTGTCGTGATAAAATGTCAAGAGGCATCCTCTTGTCCGACGTTGTCCGTTTAGTTAAATCCTCGTAATCCTGGACGGTCTTCCGCTACTTTCCTCCATCTTGCTTATCTCCTGCCTCTCCCAATTGCCGCACGCCGCGCCGTCTCGTTGCGTCTCGAATAAATCGTCGTGGTTAGACACTCGAAGGGGATTAATCCATGGCCCAATTAAGAACGAAAGAATTACCGATTACCGGTTGACTTACAGATAAAAAAACATCTCCCGAGAATGAAGGAAAGTACAAAGAACATTATCTGCACGATTTTCATCCTGAGAGCAAAAGCAACTCGCAATGAGATCTTTGTTTCACTCTCCGTTGATTCTTTGCTCGAGCGAATGATATTTATTCAGTTACGAATTAGATATTCATTCGAATAACCGCAAACCAAACCAAGTGCTTACGATGCTCGTTTATCTCATCGAGAAACAGTTTCTCGAAATATCGTTCCTCAGACAAGTCCAGTCTTTGCGAAAATCTCACGAGGTTTTTTGCGGTTCGATGCCGAGAAAAGTCTGAAAACTATACGACTGCGGATATATTCCGGTGGCTTGGCTTAAGGGTGCCATTCACTATCGTCTAGCTGCTGTTTCGTCTAAAGCGGAAATCCAAATCGGTGCATCGGCTTGAGATTCTTGGAGTGGAGTATCGTGTTCGGGTGCTTTTCACACGTCGTCCTATTCGTCGGTGCGTCCAATACCGCTATACCGAATTTTCGAAGGAACCGCGAGAATCGCGCGCGTGAGTGCGTGCGTGTGTATACGCTTGCTTAGATGTGCGATCTAAACCTCTATCCACGCTTTACTGCCCTTCTCCTTTACTTCTTTTCGGTTTTTGCAGTTTCCTCGCACAATCTTCCAAACTTACCACGCGATTGTTTCGTGCAATTCCAAATACGGGGATTGTTTGGGAATTTACTTATTACATCTAAAAAAAAAAAGAAAATACGAGAAGTAGATTGAAATTAAACGGTAGCCATTAACATTATACTATCAAGGAAATTTTAAAATTGAAATTCTGATCTAGTATACTTTGATCTACCGACCAAGCTCGACTATTGCTTATTTATTTCGAATGATCGATTGGAAATGTTGTCGGGTCCAACCAGCGAACCTATTGGTTCGAGAAAAATTGACAGACAAAATGGAAACACGCGCGCAATTACGCAAATGCGCCGTGGATATCGATGCATCGCGGATATTAAACGACGATGAACCGACCCACGATGCCAAAAGAGGACAAGGAAAAGTGTTCGAATGAAAGAGAGTAAAGATCTAAAAGCACGAAACCCGATTCGGCTCGTAAATCTATCGCAACGTAACGTGGTTATACATACATATACTACACAGTCTACATACGTAGATATGTAGTACCCTTGCAGATTAAGTCACGAACTCTCTGGCACACAGTTACGATACATATATATTTACGATACCTTGGAGTGTTCCACAATACCTTATATTTACATACGTGATCTACGACAATTTATGATGATGGGTTAGTTTCGAGTCCATTTGATGCAATATTTTCGTGCAATAAGATCAATGTTATGTCTCATGCCTCGTTTTTCTCATTTGCGAATATTTAAGCGTGAAAAGCCAATCGTTCAGTGAATCGCTTCTGCAGGCGAGTCGAAGTAAATGGATAGATTTCAATGGCTACACCCGGCAAACGGTTTCGTTCGAGCCCCTTCATTGCTCCCTGGAGACGTCACGAGGGACGACGCTTGTCGAAATTAGTCTATATCTGGTGAGCAAGAGGCACGAGGATGCCGAACGCATCTTCAAATGGTGCAAGTTTGTTTTCGAAACATGACGTCTCCTGGATAGACGAAGATGTATGTTTCAATCGGTATCATTCAAGAGTCATTCCATCACTATGTTCTTTCTCATCAATCAATTTAACAATGTAATACAGATTAAGAGTAACTGCAGCGTTCTTTTAATACTGCGTATCGATAAATGGTAAGACAAGGCGGTCTCGCTATTAAAACGACGAGATATCGCACGTAAATAGGAAGGAGGAGCACGGAGGAATCGGACTGGCTCCGTGACGAGAGAATCCTCTCTATCGAACACGTCGCCCAATCTCCGTCCCGCATTAGTTTCATCGTTAACGATGTGTCTCGAACGTATCCTCGTGGCCTGTGCATGCGGTTTAATCGTTACGTAAGTGCATCATGAAATGCTGGTCGCTATCTCTTTGACTGGGGAGATAATCGTTCCAATTAAGCTGCTTTCCCACGAATCGAATCGTGCCGGCCTGTACACGCTTCCAACGAAATCAATATCAAATAATAGAGGCCCCTTGTTCTCTCGCTCGTGTTCGCATTCCCTCTCCCGCCAAACCAGCGTATCGATATTAAATAATTTGGTGCCTTCCGCCGCTGGTAATCAGTCTGTAAAATTTTAACTTATAATCCCCCCCCCCCCCGGTCGAAACGGATTACGATCGAAACAGCCGAAATTGCAACCAGTTATTCAACTCGACCAGAATCAAATAAAGTTCTCGTCCTCTTGATAAAACGTTAATCCCGACGCGAGCGACCGCGTCCAATTTTATTTCCCGTGGATTAGCAGACTTTCGGTGGATGAAAGAAAGACGTATAACGACGCGTGAAAATCACGATGAAAAAACGAAACAGGGAAATAAGAAAACGCGTCGCGACACACACAAAGTCATCGTCTAAATATACGGAACGATCTCGCTGAATTCGACGCGTCTTTTCTTTTCATTTATTTTCGCGCGTGTCCGACGCCGAGCCGACTATTTCATGCTACTACCAGTTGTATCGCTAAGCGTCGTTTGACCCGTTCCTCGCACCGTTTCCACGCGACATTCCTTTTTCTCCTTCCACCAATTCTTTCGTCGGCCTTACGACGCTTTTAGGTTTAGGTTCCCGACACGCCATTCGTATCGCATCCAAACTACATATCCTACACCTCTTCTTTACTTTAAATACAAATTTTCTCCCCCAAGAAGAATAAATCATGTTTTTTTACATCTGCATTTGACCGATTTTTCACTTTGCTCATTACGTTTTCCACTCAGCGATTTTACGCTTACAATATTTTAAAATTTAAAGGCATTGAGATATTTATAATATTATGATAAATTATTGCTTTATCCTTAATGGGTTAACATCGTCCAATTAATTAACAACGCGTCGTGAATATTTGCAGGAAAACACTCGCCATCTCCGAGTCATGGTCTACGGCTTGCTTGTTTGCCAAGCTAATGTCTAATTTCCAGAATGTTCGGTAATCACGCGAACAAAGGACCACCGAGTGTCCGCCGAGCTCCGACTCGTCCGCAACTTGGACATCTCAGTCGCGACTAAGCAAACGCAGTCTAGCCGTTTTTCTACGCATTGCCATGTTACCACAGATTAGCTATAAAATTGACTTATCGTCTCGTGGAACTTGACGTTACATTAACTGAATTATCGGTTCAGTTTTAACTAAATTGTATGTTACATAAAATAAATCTACGTACTCATTACTAAATCTATGTCAACTTTTATTACTTTATAGTTTAGTATAATCACGCATTAAAATTTAAACATTATAAATTACTGTAAAATATATTATGGTAGATGTAATCAAATTCCCCGATCTATAAATTCTGCACCTTGATGCTATTAATTCACATGAAACATAATTTTTGTATTCTCAATTGATGGCTATTAATTAACGTAATTCTACCTCTTCATTTTCAACATGAGTAAATATCCAATTGCTTATATATTATAATATTATATTAAATCGACACAAAAATAGAAGCGAACCGCGAGACACTTTGAATGATAAGTATACTTTAAAACTATAAGACTCTCGCTAAATCGACGATTCACGTCACTAAACAGCGTAGCCATTATATAAACCAAGACGTTTCCGTCAAACATCCGTCAGTAGATCAGGCAAAGGTACATAATTAATTTCTTAAGATGTAAAAAATCGCATGAAACAGATGTTTCTAACAAGATTCAGAAATTTTTATATTTTTTCGTCGTTAGATCATGCGAAAACAGATGGACTAAAGTCGAGGATTAGTATAATATTCTTCGACATTCCTAATCTTCCAACTTTTTGTGAAAATTTGTGAATCCATATTTCTTTTTAGCAAAGATCATTAATCAATTTTAACGTGGCGATGAATTGTCAAGTGTCATAGTTGTGCAGCTTTTTAATTAAATACCCAGTTCCATTAGCAACACGTAATAATTACATTACTAATGGGCTCACGATAATTAAAGCGTCGAAGCTTCAATCGAATAGAATGAATACAAAGAATGTATTTTTTCGAGTACAAAACAAACTCTTCTCTTACTCGTTGAATGTTCGTTTTCTACCGGACACATGAGTTTTAGGGAATTCATTCATTCATATCGGGTGTAATGAAACGACACAGTCGCGATATTATTGTCATGAACGATCGACACGAATTTGTTCCTGCGTTTCGTGTCATACAACGCATTTTCTGACAATAGCTCGTAAACAGCAAGCGCAGTTGCCGTTCGTTGCAATCCACGATCCGTTTCACTGACCATTCTGTTCTTCCAATTTGGATAAAGACTGTTCTGTGAAAATGAAGTAGTCGCGACTGACAATGGTTTGTGACACTTCGCCTATTTCCAGTTTATTGAATTGAAAATTGGTTAATTTATACGATTGGTCGCTATCTGTAACGATAATTGTGACCAGTGAGGTCACAGGTTCTCTATTTAAGGAGAAACACATGTTAGAATTAAACAGTATTTGTCAGGCGGTGAGAACGAGACGAGAATCAAAGATAAGTCGATTATTCCTGATTCTATTGTTCGTATATATATATATTATTTTGACTCGGTACAAAGACGACAAGGTACAAAGACACGAACTAGCCCTACCGAACAAACGTGTAGTCCAATCGTTTCTGATAAATCGCGATTATGTTCTAATCGTCCTTGGTCCTTTGCCCCGCAGGACGAGCCAAAGGGTCACGTGATCCGCTTAGGAGACCGCAGTGGAGAGTCAGTGAGTAAAAGAAGCTTTTGCTTCGATCCTTTTGTAGTAAATCATTCGGAGGTAAGAACCTCTTGTCGAGTTCTCCTCCTTGAGATAGAAAATAGCGAAAAATCGTGGCCAATGGAGTAGAACTATTTCAGATATGTCTCAATCTATACTCTAATAGATTGTCCTCTGACCAAATTTCTTAAGAGTCTGTTTGAAACGACAGGACGAGTCGGACATAGTTTCGCGCTACAGATCTCGGACAACCGACGCAAACGAGAAACGCATGAAAATTGCAAGAAAGACAGCGATTGTACCAAAGGACAGGTCTGCATTTGGTATGCAGTGAGTACCTTTGTTCATTTAGGTGTTTCATAATGACGAGTGAATGGACTACGTCTTTTTCACTATTTTCACTATTTCGATATATTTCGATATATTTTTCTACACAGTCAAGGGACATCGAAAAGACGGTTCTTTGAAAAATCTAACAAAAATCATCCGATTAACATCAACTGATTTGACGATGGACTCCTCAATCTATCTATATACAATATTTACATAGTAAAATTGTACACGCCATGCATTCATTATTCACGATAATAAAATAACTAGTACTCAAACGACTGTAAATTGCATTTGTTTTGTTTCAATCATCACTTATTGCACGAGAGATTTTTAACAAGACTAAAAAACGATCGAAAAAAAACGTTTAATAAAGTGTTCTGCAACGCAGGTGCAGAAACGGAAAGAGGGTTGGAAAATTAGTAGAGGGATAAAAGGAATCGCGGAGAGACAGATGGCGCGACGCGATCGAGTCTCATTAACGCTTGGAAACAGAAGAAAACGAGTGGAGTATAAGAAAAGGGAGTTCAGTCATCGTGAATTTATCGAGAACAACTGGTTGGTTGGCAAAGATCCTCGGTCCCCGCCTTAACCGCAATCCTCGCGGAACCGGCCGAGGAAAGGGCTGCTAGATTTACAGTTAAAATCAATTAGCCCCTAATTGGCTTCGAAAGGTTTATCGCGAGTATCGTTTTATTGGAAAGACGGATGGGGTTCGGGTAGACGACTCGAAAGTAAGATTGATCGCCCTCCGCGTTGGAAATCAGTTCGAATTTTAAATATGAATCGGAGGGGAAGCAATTTACTCGGGAAGGCAATTTGCCTAGATACTCAAAGTAAAATCAACGACAACTAATTTGAAAGTTTCTCTGGAGTGAATTCATAACTAAATACGGAATGATACGCAGAGCTAACTGTAAAATTTTGAGGAATTTTTGCAATGAGGCGATAAAAAGTGTGTTTGCAGAAAAACTCGTCAACGAGAAAGCGAATAGTAGTAGAACTTACGCGGCCACTCAACATTATCCCATCGAGCATCGATAAAAGCGGTCGAGATCGAGTTCGTGTTCGTGTTACGATCGGACTTTCGTAGACATGCAGAAATCGCCAAGTAGCTCGTAAGAGCAAAACCGGAGGCAGCTCGCTTTTATCGGTTGTAGAAAATTTCGCCTCTACAAACGAGACGTAGCGAGGTAAGGTCTCGTAAAGTTAGCGGGGAATTAACGGCGAAGATTTACGATTCTAGCAGGAAAAACGTAACAATCGTAATATCCTTTCTTCGCGTACGCTCAGATGGTGATTTTTCATATGCACCCTCCTCCATCATCCTGTTGCTGGGCTCTGTTTAATTCTCCTTTAATACGAAAGAAATGAAGCGACGTCGACTGATGAAGAAAAAGAAGGTTTCTACCACTGAAAGATCGATCGTTCCTGCAATATACAGGGTGTCTGATAAGGTCGGGACAAAATTTATATTACGTGTTAATGAGGTTAAGTACACAAACAAAATTCGTGTAAACTTAAAGTGTAAGAATGCTTTTGTTCGTCAAACTGATGCCTCTTGAATTTTACATCACGTCAAACAGGTTTATGAAAATGAGATAGAAATAAAAAACATGCTTTAGGAATGCATCTAAAGTACATTTTCTAACATCTCTATAACAGCAGAAATATTCAATCGAGTTCGATAATCGTTGGATGAATGAAAGCCTGTATTTTTGCAGAAGGAAAATATTTCGAACACTTGTTGTCAGAACGATTAATGAAAATTTTGTTGACGCTTATAATTTTTCAATAAACGATTTTCGGAGTATGTAGTTTTCGGAGTAAGTTTTGTATAAACTTTTTTTTTTATCTCATCAATACGTAGTGTAAGTTTTATTCTGATCTTTTCAAATGTTCTGTACATATAAACGACGCGACGCGATAGTGTTGGTTGTTTCTCGTCAGCGATTTCTTCTGCTTCGGTAAAAGTTCTGGCAACTTGAAAAGCCTGCAAAAGCAAAGCTTTTCCAAATCCATAATAAACTTCGTCGCGTCTTCGGCACATAAATGCTATCTCGTTGCTGACCGTTTAAAAAATTTCTGTGGTTGAATCCTTCGAGTTAGAATCGAAGAGCAAAGGGAACAGCCAGACAATAGTGCAGTGTCGAGCGAAAGAGATATTGATTTCTTGGACAGTGAATATCGACGAAAAATAAAATTGAGACCACAGAAGTGATATTACCGAGCGAAGCTCATCGATTGTGAAACTTTACGGTACGTGTCGTACAATCGAGAACGATAGAACGATCGTTAAAAACCTTTGTCATTTTCGTCTTCGATCGCAAGTTCCAGTTTGAGTAGACAGAAAAACTTAAGAGAAGGAAAGAAGGAAAAAACAAAGTAAGCAAAGGAACAAAAGTACAAACGAACGAACGACCAAACAACCGAACAAACGATATAAGCAGAGGGGAGTGAAAAACTAAGCGGCGGGACGCAAGAAACGCGATATTTCAGCGGCAGGAGCCGGCGATTAATTGCCAAAATAACTGCAGACACGAGGAATCGTTTAGGCACGACTCTCGGAACATTGTTTACCGTGGATACAGTCGGCTGGAATGTATGTCCCCGTGGACACGCGGGACATAATATACGGGGACAGTTACCGCCCTCGGCGACGTATATTACCCCCCACCTAAGTGGTGCTCTTTCGTTCATGCTAGCGAACGACCGCGGTGAAATATTCCGCGTGGCTCGCTGCAGACACCCGCATGATTCAGGAGAAGCCGATCGATCGTTTCGAGACCCATTTGACGCGCTCTTGCTTCCAACACTTCCACCTTGATATGTAACTGTGTGCAGGTGACGCGCCATCAGCGTTGTCGTTTCATTCTCGTCTTTGAATTGCTCGATACTACTAAAAATGAATTATTTTATGCGTGTAAGAGATGATACCTCTTAAATCTTTGATTTGCTTAGTCGCTCGTTCATCGTGATATTTGGCGTCACGTTATACCAAAGTAGTTGTGGTTACAGTGACTACGCCATCGTGGAGTTTGGAAATATGCCAGTGTGATTCTGATCGTAATTGAAACGTTCTCGTGGCATTGGATAATTTACGGCTGGCTCGTCTATTAGGAACGAGCCTCTCGCTTCAACTTTTTACGCATTTCAGACAGAAATGCAGAAAGAAAATTCGAATTCTCAAAGTAATTTTTAAAGTGTGTGTATTGTTTGCGAAGCTATAAAGTATCGCAAAGTGAAACCATGACAAGAGAAACCATTAACATTTCCAACTAGAAGACAGGGTTGATTAAAGCGTTGGTAGTCTTGGCGCGCGACAAACAGCTCCGTCGAGTCGGAGCGACTGGGACTGTCGGAGTCGTTCAACCGTGGCCGGACCTTTAACCCGTCGTACAATTCGGCCTCCGAAGAATCCGTCGCTACAAGATTAGTAAAAAAACGAAGATATCCCTCGACCGGCACGTCGCTCGCTTTATTTTCGTCCGCGATCCGTTTCGAAGCGCGGCGAATTTATTCGGAGTCCTTCGACGTCGTGCCGCGTTAGTATCACGAGTGACGATAGATAAAATCCACGCGAAAATGATAAAAAAAAAAAAGGCGAGCAGAAAAGAAAGAGAGAGAACCTGTGAACCTATAGCAACCGTGATCAAATAAAAATGTGCACGAGAATTTTATCCAATCGACCGACGCCGATATTAGTCAGGGAGAAGAGTCGATGCTTTTAACACTGGAATTTTTACTATCGATTCTCTGATGCGACCATCGTCCAACCGAGCTAAACTAAATCCTCTTTAATTTCTCAAATTTTCCATGACGAATTAATAAGTGATTTCTTTTCTTTCCACCGTTGCATTGTTTATTTGCAAGCTCTCTGTCTGTGACGCGATTTTAGGCAATCGTACTCGTTGGATTTACGCGGGGAATATGCGTGGGCGAGAGTGCTAAATGATGTTTGCGGACGTCGCTACGACGACCGTCAGGGGAGGCTTTCTCGCCTGATAAATTCATGGCAAGACGCGGCTTTCTAAACAGCAAATAGTTTACGAGGTTATAAACAGACTATCGGCTCGATGGAATATATTATTAACATCTTCCTCTCCTTGAAAGGTACTCATATGTTGGAGAACTCGATTGCGCCTACTTGCTCAATTAAACCGCGCATGATGCCCGTGTATCTGAAAAAAATGTCCTCTCTCTTAATCTTTGGCTTTCTAGATGAATTCCCGAGCAAAAGCAAACTCTTTGAAGTCTCTCGAAGGAGGAGCATGAACGAAAGACGCAACTTTAATACGCCAGAGAGCGCGTATTAAAAAATTCCAGCCTCGAAATTTCAGGAATCCAATTTTTTCCTGCGGCTCGTTACCGCGGTGCTGCCGCAGTCTCGAGAGCAAAAGCTGTTGGTGAAAATAGAGTAGAAGGTGGATGTGTAAGCACCACGCGGTCGAGGAGAACAATTCCAGTAAGATTTAGAAATGATGACGCGCGAATGTATGTGTCGCGTTCTCATTTAGCATTTTCCATCCACCTAACTACTATGCTCCATGCGATTTTCTAAGCATCTTCGCATTTTTCTTCGTCGGTGAGTATTTAGGACGATTTCACAAGGAAAATGTTCCTTCGTGGATGATACGATTCTGTTTCTAAAGGATCATGTCGAATATTTGACGAGTGCTTTTGACAAGAGAGGGTAAAACCAGAGAACACAGACTGTATTTGCCAAGTTTCCTTTTGTCTGTCGGTGAGTGGAAGTGTCATTAGGTTTAGAAAAGAAACAGGTACCTGTCGTTGAAATTAAGGTTCCCAGAGTTTTCCTTTGGATCGCGAACATTACAGGACTGACAAAAGGATCGACGAAAGGTTTAATACGCGGACAGAGAATATGCGATCAGCCTTGAGACACGCGGTGAGGGAATCAGTTTCTTTTGATGCGAATGAAAGTTTTACTCTTCGACTCGGTCTTCCGTCAGAGTCAAAGCGAGTAGATATGATTAATTTCGTCGTCGAATAAGTGGTCAATGAAAAATTAATAGGGTAGTCCTACAAGTGCAAGGAAAGCGCCTACAAAGGAAACCGAGAGAAAAGAGGAC